AGGAGTGCAGTTTTACACAGTATGCATACATAGTCACACTGTCTCTCTTCCAAACTCTGCACGCGTAGAATTGGAATAGATAAATTTGGGTAATGACAACCAAGAGGAAATTGACAACACAGTTCTATTACTGGCATGTTTTAATGAGATGAGATTTTTGTATGATTTACTAGTTGGGAGAGATTATTTTTAAGGAAACAATTACAAAACATTTGTGAATTTCTTTATATGTTCAACAACCTTACTCTGGCAAGACAAAACCTGCCATTAATATCTTGCATTTCAAACAGAAGATGAACTTAGTAGAAGCTTTCTGTTCTTACTGTCATTTACAGCCTAAAGCTTCTTTCTGAAAAGCCAAGATTATCCAAAAGCTCCTATGGGATGTTGTAAAGTGGCATAATTCAATGCTACACTAAGAAAATTAAAAAGATGTGGGTAGAGATAAACTTTCTTCTACAAATATTTTAATATAAAGGCATGGCCAGGGACTACTTCTCTATCCCAGTTTCCTGACTAATAATAGGAATAGTGCATTACTTGTCAAATTTGCATGATCCAGCTAAATGAGCTTATCTATCCTAAATATTTAATAAAGCTCGAAGGTATATTGGACAGTAACAATAATATGTACAGACTCATTATAATTCACAGCTCATCTCTGTCTTAGAAGACTAGAAGACATAATTTAATGCTGCAATAACAAACTGTTTCATTTTTTATGCAATAACCACTGTTACATTCTAAATGCCGAACTTTATTTTTGTCTAGGTTACCAGTACAAAAGAGGACAAACACATTTACCTTTTTTTTTAACCTGCAAGATTAGCAGGTTCTTCTGAAATCTTCCATACTTATAATTGTCTCCCCTCCCCCCACCTTAGAATCACATAGTTTGTAATGCTCCAAATACATCACTATTTAAAATAAAATAGTGTTTATGTTTAAAAATAGTGAGCTCTGTGCAATCTGCAGTGAATGGCATGACATCATCATTTTCATTTGTTCTTGTTTTTCAAGAACAGGGATTTGTTTGCTCTCTTTGCCAGCATTACTGCAAAAGCCTGGCTGATATCATCAAGATCAATAGAAAACAATGGTCCTTAACACACCAGGTTGGATCTGTTTTAATGAATTTGTTTAGGAATTGCTGTTGCGCTTATTCCTTACAGATAAATCAGATTAAACTTTTGGAAAAGCAAGATAAATAACTGCTGCCAGGGCTAGAGAAACTGATGAGAAATATATTAACATTCCCCATTCATGCTTTCCAGCGTTTATGCTCCCTAACCTATCCACACATCACAAAAGAAATATTGCAGTACTTTTTATGGGGAAAAAGCCTAGAACAAATGGAACATTTAGAAGAATTCTTAACTTTATTAATTAAACAATAATATATGTTATTCTTGAAATAACATATATTCTCAGATCAGCCATCTCCATTGCCATTCAATCAGATGTCTGGAAATTCTGATAGTTGCTCTCCTAATATTTCTTGAAGAAAAATATTTCAGGTTAGGAATTGCTGGCTATTGTAAAGAAATCATGCTTGGATTTAAGAGTGCTATATCCTGCTGCCGAAGAAGTGCTTCTTTCTGCAAGTTCCTCCCAGAGATTGTTGAACAAACTCTGGCTATTAGCATGACCAGGGATCATAGAGCAACAGCTTTCCCGTTAGACAGCAACCAAAGGATTTATTGATGTAATATTTCCAAAAATCCTGATGACATGTTAAAGGAAAAAAACCCAAACCATTACTATAGGAACATACTGAATGTTCCTATAGTAATGGAGTAACTTGGTTTCTCCATTAAATTAATTTTATTTGTCATATTAAATTTAACAGTTGCATTAATTCATGTAAGGAAAAATGTAATTGGTTGGATGGTTTCAGCACAAAATAGTGGGTAAAGAACAAATTGGTTAGAATTTATACTGGTTATGGAAATCAAGTAATATAGTTAAATAAACTTCAATAGATTGAATCCTATGTTCTTGTATTTCAATTTTTGAAATAGTACTTTTTTAGCTCTCTTCACTGGGTTAGATGACATTCAAAATTCCTGGGATAAAGGAAAAAGTTACAGGTAAATCCTGCTTTAGGTTTCCCACATACACTCCTCATGTCAGCTGGAAGCTTAAGGAGGAGAACAACATCTACATCAGGCCCCAAACTGGCCAGAACTTTCCTGGATCGAGAATTTTCAAGTTTGATTCCAGCAAATGTTCTTACATGAAGAACGAGGCACTTTGAATTCCTCAGATAATAAAATATTCCCATATTTGTACTTTGTAGACAGTGGCCTGGACAGCATGGTTAGCAGCATGGGCATCTGCAGGAGGGAGAAAGGTGGAGGGATGACAATATGGATGAGATGACCCAATCATGAGAATGCCACAACTTAAATATATTGTATAAGTTCTTAATTGCAGCATTTGCATGATTGCAGCATTTGCATACATCTCATATGTCTTGGGTTAAATAGTGTCAGACATCAACCTTTAGCTATTGAACTACATTCAAGATTTTGCTTTTGACCTGTAAAATTCGAAGCTATTGGGAACTTTAGATACCCAAGGGACCTCCTTCCCCATTAAACTTCATCAATGACAATCAACCAGGGACCTTCTGCATGCGTGAAAAGCCACAGGAGGCCACTTCACAGTGATTTATGGCAGCTTTTCTCTACTGTGTCATTGTCAGTCTAGAATAGTCTTTCTTGGACATATGTGGGGCTCCTGCTGCTTAAGGCTTCTCTTGAACATCTTTCTTGTTCTTCAGGCATTCCCTACAATTACAGCAAGATGAATAGTTTTGTCTTCTACTTTTGTCTTTCTTTTCTCTATCCTTTAGTATGTATGGTTCTTTGAACAGTTATGAACTAATGGATTCTACAGAGTATTTTATATATTAATTATGAATACTAATACCAATATATCACCTATCAAATAATTCCCCTAATTCTGGCCAGAAAATAGATTTGTGCTTGATTTCCTTTCTTAAAGTATATGAGCCATTTTATAGTTAAAAAACAGCAAATTGATCCAGGAATAGAAATGAGACAACACTGAAAAATCTCCTTTGGAATATTTCTCCTCTGCAATATAATAATTTATATTCAAACAATTTAAATATTAGAACAGTAACAATAACTGTAGAATATAGCTTTATGTTTCTTTTCAGTTATACATAATTAGAGTTGGTATTCAAATATCTACTAGTCCTCAATGAACATATGAGGCTGGCTCTGAATATGCAATTGATTCAATTATTTTTTCATTTTTCTTTTTATCCTACTTTTGTTACTGCGGTAGAATATAATGTAATAGTTTGCATCTCCTTTCAATCCCCCCTCCATATCCAGTTTGAATATATTCTTACTGGGCAGACATTTTTCAGTCTTGACCACCGTTACCCAAGAGTAAATTCCATTAAAGAGAATGGGCTATCTAAGCAAAATTACAATGGGTTATCTTCTAAATTTCCAAAAGGTAGCTCATCTTGCCCTATTATTACATAAAAAGTTTGTTTCCCCTTGCTTCCAGCATTTGTTTTTATATCTCTGTAACTACTTGCAGATGCTGAGGAAAACAATTCTATTCTTTTTCCTCTTCCATTGCCACTTGTCTTGGAACAAATGGGCAAAAAAGACATTGTTGCTTATATTGGTAATTGGAAGCTTTGAGAAAATTGACTCTCTGCTCAATAGAGCTTCACCCAGACTTGCCCTTATAATAGTCATGTGATCCCAGATCAGGTTTGAGAGCAACAAAGTGGGTGAACGTACGTCAAATGGGCCCTTTTGACCAGAAGCCTGGAAAGGACTCTGCCAGAGATCCTACATTCCAACTAAGACCAGGGACCAGTAGTCTGTGTTACAATAGAAGGCAGCTTAATAAGTCTATATGCTTTGAAAGCCAGGTACACAATGGGTGATAGGGCTAAGAAGCAAAAACACTGAAAGGTAATACAAGAAGTAGAACTTAATATTGAAATCTACTTGCTGTTTGTTTGTTTGTTTTCTAGAAGATATAGCATAGTGCTTAGAAATCAGGATGGAATTAAAGAATACACAATATACACAAACTGAAAGCATGCATGCAGTTTGAATGCCATAACAGGCATGATCTACTGTAAATTTTAGTTTGCCTCGTAACAGAAAGCTACAGCTAACTTTGATACTCTAGCAATCGTATCCAGGTGACATGTCTTCAATAAACAAGAATAGTCTAGCCTAATGAAACCCCCCAAAACATTTGCAAAATACTTTTATTATAAAAATAATAAAAGCCATCCATGCTTTTTTCAATCTATCGTGCAAATGGTTGTAAAATGAATGAAATCTTGATGAATGTGTGACCCCTGTGGATGCCCAGGAAAAAAAGTTCTGCAGCTTTTATACAAACATTTAAATATGAGCCTTTATGGAATGACTTCAAGAATGAAAATTAACAAAAAGGAGGTATGTGTTGTTTCTCATGTAACTGTATATTTATAAATCCAATATATAGCATTCAATGACATGGATAGAGACATCTTTCTGTTACAACCAGGTCAAAGCAAATAAGATTTTTTTTTCTTTTCTGGAAATTTTGCTTAACAGAATAAGATATGTAATATCTTATGTATTTGTTTATATGAATCATCTTAATATTTAGGAAAAAAATATTGTACCCCATAATTTCTTTTTGGTGACTCAGAACATAAGCAAAAAAAAAAAAGAGTTTCATTCTATTCTATCTGGGTGGTTCTGATTAGTGATTTAGTAAAGCATGGTTTTCATTTCATCACAGTTCCAAGAACTGAAATAATTACATTTGTTATGATACCTGGAATGGCTTGTCAGAATGCAGCTATCACTAATGACTCTTAATGGCACTCCAGGACTATACCAGAACATCCAAGAAAAGCATACAACTGCCCCACAGAAAGGTCACCTGCAAATGAAGCACCCATATCCCAGCATGAATGTGAACAGGTGAAAAGTATGACATACCTTACCGTTTGTCTGTGACCAAGTCAAACCCAAGGATGATGTCACGTTAGAAAGAAAAAGCTGGAGAGCCTGCAAAAGAACACACCCCCAATTAAAATTGTTACCTTGAAAAGGTCTTTCCTTTTGTTCCACGTCTGAACATGCATTCCGTTTATTTAAACCAAAACAAAAAAACCCACAACAAAACAAGAGTGATTCACAATGCCTGCAAAAATCTACCAAGCCCTTCCAAACATAAAACAGACTCCATGTAATAGAAATATGCATCCACTCCTTGCTTTACAAAAAGAGTCTGAACCGATGGATGCTGTTTACAGCAGGAAGGGCTCCAGTAAAGCAGCATATTGCAGGTATTTCCAAAGGGATGCACACAAAGCTCATGGTGAAACAAAGGGGATAAAAATATTACCAGCTTCTGTGTTGAAATGCCACAAAGGCATATCCTTAAATAACTGCAGCTTAATTATTCTCCCAATGCATGCATTAACATCCGTGAGCTCGCAGTCTATTTCCAGACAGACACAGTCTGCTAGCCACCAGCTTGTAGCTTCCGTATATATGTCGGGGGAGAAAGAAAACCGCACATCAGATGAAGTCCCCACAGTGATGAAATGGAGAAGAGGCCGCATGGAAGACACAGACGGAGCTTGCTGGCCGCAGAAATTTCCAGAATGAAGGCGAGGCTGCCAGCTCAGCCATCATTCATTTACAAAAGGAGACTGCACTCGCCTCAGTGAAAGCAGGTTCTTGAAAGGGTCCTGAGTGCCTGATAGGCATTTTAATTGCACCAAACTGAAACATGAGCTGAGCGATCAGGCCCCAAATCTCAGAAAAGCCAGCAATTGGATTTCTTTTGCGCATCAAATAAAAACTGCATACACAGACAACATGGCTCATGAAATGTAATTTTAGATGTCCAATTTTTAAATATATTTTAATTTTATGGAGTGCACTGCTACTCTCATCTTTCCCTCTGTGAAAAGGTTTCTTTCCATTTTGCACCTTCCCGTTATTTTCCCTCTTTGATTCATAAAGAAACAACACTAATTATAACCAAAAATATATTGTATCAGATCATGTATCACCAATGCTCTGATTTGAAGAAAAAAAAATCACATACCTCTAGTAAAAGGTGCGCTAGTTTACTATAATAAAGAGGAGCTCACTGTTATAGATACAAACACTCTAAATTAGTTAAAAGAGCTCTGCCGGGGATTGTAAACACTAGCTGAAATATCCTATGCAAACACATTTTAAAAAGCATATTGTTGTATGACAATTCAGAGTTAACATATATGAGCCATCCTACCAAATCACTGCAGATTATGTACATATAAATATTAAGAATGAGCAAATATTTTCATTGATTAAGACAAATTTGGGGGGCATCAGATACTTCTCAACAGACTAGATATTCCTCTTTTTTTTCTTCAAAATCACAACCATCTATTTTGAATGTTTACTTACAAATAGATCGCGCTGAAATTAACAGGATTAATTCCCAGGTAAGTATGCAACTGTGAGGCTAGCAATCTGCAATTGCAATTAACCTCCAAAACATAGAAGATAGCCTGTCAAATTATTGGAAAATGTTTTGAAAAATATTTTCTCATAAATCTCTTTTAGGCATACAGTATCTGGGCTTGTCAGATTTCAGAAAGTTCAGAAAATGTAATGGGGACAATAAAGTCTTTCTGAATGTCAGTTCCAATTTATTTAAAGCATCTTCTGAGAATAAATGTGTGCAACTGAACTACATGTATGTTTTAGTGACTAACATAAGAATCAGGGGGTTGAAATAAATATTGTACAGCTATTGTACATTTGTACATTTGTACAATTAAGAGGTTCCTGCTCCCCAATCATTTCTAGTACAATGTACAGATTTCAGTTCATCCCAAATTTCCCTGTCTCATAGCTCACTTACCTGAGGGAAAAGGCTTCTTTGGGGAAAAGGGTTTAGAAAGATAAAAGGGCAAAAAAGGCTGGGGGGGTGGAGGATTTCCACTAGAACTGATGCTGAAGTAGAGAGGGTTAAATGAAATTCCTAATATCACTGTCTTTATGGGATTCTTTCCCTATGAATCAGAAAAGGGTTATTTGGGTAATCGGTGGAACATCTTGGTCTATGCAGGAATCCCAACGGAAGCATCTCCAACAAATGGCAGCCCAACCTTTCCTTGACACACCCAGGGAATATTAATATTATTATTATTATTATTATTATTATTATTATTATTATTATTATTATTATTATTATTAATAATAATAATAATAATAGTAATAGTAATAATAATAATAATAATTTTATTTATATACCGCCCTTCTCCCAAAGGACTCGGGGCAGTGTACAGCCAGAATTAAAACATAAATATACAATATCATAGTTAAAATTAATTTAAATCATTAAATAGTTTTGGCCGAATTTTAAAACCCAAAATTAAAACCCAATTTAAAATCATTCAGTTAGACAGCCCCGCCTGTCGGAACAGTAGGGTCTTGAGGGCACAGTGAAAGACCCGGAGGTCAGAAATGTTACGAATATCCGGGGGCAATTCATTCCAAAGGGCAGGAGCTCCGACAGAGAAGGCTCTCCTCATGGGTGTTGCCAGCCGATATAACTTGGCCGACGGTACCCTGAGGAGTCCCTCTCTGTGGGAACGAACTGGTCGGTGGGAGGCTGTTGGTGGCAGAAGGCGGTCCCGTAGATATCCTGGTCCTATGCCATGGAGCACTTTAAAGGTGGTGACCAACACCTTGAATTGCACTCGGAAGACCACTGGGAGCCAGTGCAGCTCACGCAGGAGAGGTGTTACATGGGCGTAACGAGGTGCGCCCATAACCACCCGCGCTGCCGCATTCTGGACCAGTTGGAGCCTCCGAGTGCTCTTCAAGGGGAGCCCCATGTAGAGAGCATTACAATAGTCCAGACAGGAGGTGATGAGGGTGTGAGTGACCATACGCAAGGCATCCCAGTCCAGAAAGGGACGCAACTGGCGGATCAGGCGAACCTGATAAAAAGCCCCCATGGCTATGGCCGTCATATGCTCTTCTAAAGACAGCCGTGAGTCCAGGAGGACACCCAGATTGCGGGCCCTCTCTGTGGGGGGGCAAAGATTCACCCCCAATAGTCAGCGATGGCACCAGCTGACTATACCAGGAATAGGGATGGGGATTTCTTAAACCTCTCAAGGTGCTTGCCTCCATTGCTGTCCTGCTCTTATTATTGCGAATGTTTTGTTTTTTTTACCATTCAGCCAACATCTGCCGTTCTGCAAGTTACATTTATTATTCCATGCCTTCCTCTCTAGGAGAACACAGACCAGGCCTTCTCCCCCAACCCCCCACCCCAGTGACACATCTTTTCAGATACTGGAAGAGTCATCTCCTCACTTCTTCTTCAGGATTTACTGTTCTAATCCCCTGCTCACTCTCGCCTGCCTTTTCTGAACCTGTTCTAATTGCTCTTATCTTGACCATTACCAATAAAACAGAAGCATTATTTCCTGTGATTTAGAAATTTTTCAGAACTAAAACTGTATTTGCATTTTGGAGCCACATTACATTGTTGACTGCAATTCAATTTCTAATCAACTATTATTTTAAAAAAAATTCCCAATTATTTTTACAAAACTGTGTTTTCTTCCATTCTATACTGTGCATTTAATTTCAACCACAGTTATTAACAAAATTACTGAATAATACATGAATATTCCCTGGTATTGATATCTGATTGATAGTTCTATAAATTCCTGGTTCCTCATTTGCTCTTATAACTATAGAGGCAACATTTATCCTGTATTGTCCAACAACAATACAACATTTATTGTTGTATTGTTGTTGGACTTCTTTGCTATTGTAATTTTAGTGTATCTTCTTTTTTAAGAATTGCAACTCATCTCAAAATACCTATGCAGCTCTCCATTGGCTGAACACGAACTGGTCAAGGGGGTGGGGGGAGGACTGGGATGAGGGGAAAAATACGATATCAACAAGAGAGTAAAAGAATTGAAATGGAAATGGGCTGGTCACATAGCAAGAAGAATTGATGGCAGGTTGACCAAGGCAGTCATAGAATGGATCCTACTTGATAAAAAGCATCCATGAAAGAGACCTAAAACAAGATGGATCGATGACATCAGCAAGTATTACCGCCCCAATTGGCAAAAGAAAGCTTAGGACGGTATTGGTTGGAAACATGCGGAAGAGGCCTTTATCCTGCAGTGGGTAGATAATGGCTGAAATGATGGTAGTGGTGGTAATAAAAATGCTTTAAGTAATAGCAATTCTGCTGTCATTTTAATATTCAATATTGTAAAATTATAGTATGTAGGAAAACTATTTATGAAAAGACTCTGGATGTCATGTTGGAAAGCAGAAATTGAAACTACTGCACTTCAAGAGCCATAGGTTTCCTTGATCAGTTTTTCTTTGATATTTAACTGTTTCTCTTCTGTCGATTATCAGATTCTGTCCCCTGCCCATTTTGAATTATATATTCTGAATTCCACTAGGATCAAGATAAAAATTGTTGCTGGATTGTCATGTAATGTTGAAATAAGACTGAATAGTATCTATCTTCATGCCTGGGAAGCACGAACAATCAATCACAATTCCCTAAAAGCCTAGCTTTTGTATTTGAAAACAAGGATACATTCCCAGTTTATTGATAATGTTCTTTATTTATTTATTTATTACACTTATTTATTGGCTGCCCAACTTGCCATAGGATAGCTCATACACTTCCTATCTTTAAAATATTATTAGATTGGAACAATGGTGATTATGGGTTATTAAGAATACTAAATCAAATCTAAATCTCAAAAAAAAAAAAATACAATACTGGAAGTACAATATCAAATTACTTACTTTACAAGAAATGAGCTAAATGTTGAACACTTTATTCTTGATTTGTTTATTTCTAATTTAGATTTCCAAGGCCATGCTGCTCAACAATGACTAAGTAATTGTAATTGCTCAGTTCTGAGCATTAAAAATGTTTTGATTCAAAAGGAATGTGCTTTTTCTTTTTTAGCATCAGAATCTGACTTTAAATAAAATATCTAGGACATAGCTATTCAAAAAAAAAGTGCCTCCAATTACTGAAATTAGTTAAATCAGTTTCTAAAATATATTATTTCTAATTATTTCTTTACTAATGTATAAGTTTCAGATAAAGAAATATTATTTTTATGGTTTACCTGATTGTACACCTTGGAATGGAAGCTGTATAAATATGGAGAGATTGGTGATTACTGTTATTATTCAGTATAAAAAGGAGAACAGTAATCAATTATGCATTTATTTATACAAGTAGGCTTCTTTTCCACCAACAAGCACTCAAAAGATGCATAAGCTAATAAAATCAATCATGTCTGAATCTAAAATAAAATTAAAGCTTCTGGATTAACATTACTACAACATATAGCAATTAAATTACAACAACATATTTCAATTAAATAGTTTAGGAGAACTAAAACAATTTTTAAAACAATCAAGTCTACTGTAAGCTTTAAAAAGTGAAAGATAATAACATATTTGTAGTCCTGGCACTGTCAGAAATAAGACTACTCGGCAAGGTGGTCTCTGCGATCAGCTACAGTCAGTCAGTCTTCCTAGTTAGACCAGACAAGAAACATGACCAGATGAGATAAATCTACTTTATTGTAAAGTTACATTAATAGAATGTTGAAAGTCTGAAGGTACAAAACTTCCCACCATCACTTTTAA